CATACAGATGCTGTTGTGTGTTTCCTGTCCACCTGCACCTCTCTCTACCTCCCTCTGCTCTCCTCGTCTGTGCTACTGCCTTTATAAAAACATGATTGGAAGAAACAGAGGGAGAAAATAAAATGCAAAAACAATTTAACAGAGGCAGAGGAGGAGAGGAGTTAAATCATTTTGTTGTGTGATTGAAACAGGGTGATGCAGTGAGCTAGAGTGTGAGATAAAAAATAATATGTCAACAAATAAGACGCCGTCCGGACTGCTGTCTAGTTGCGGCTGTGAGAATCAGCGCGATTCGCTCTGATGATGTGTCAGGTTTTGCACAATCGATGGTTTTAAAAATACATGCCTGCTGACCTCTCTGCTGCCTGCTCTGCTCCCCCTGGTTGAGTTTTTTTTCAACTTACAGCCTTTACATTGCACTTGAAAAAACAGAAATGCGGCATGTGGATAGCAGTTGTGGTGAAGACAAGGAAAAAGGGGAAAAAACAGAGAATAGAGAGACAGAGAGGTTGGGAATAATAATAGCTGCACTTGAGTAGCAGTGCTAGCTGGTAGCTTTCTCCTCCCTCCTCCACAGCTTCAGTCCACTCACAGGACAGCAAGAGTCACAGCTCTGTTGCCATGGTGTCTAACTCCATCAAACACTACGTCAGGTGCATGTGTGTCTATGTGAGCATGTGTGAGTGCGTGGTGTTGTGTGTTTGCGGAGGTGTGTGTGTATGTGTCAGGTGGGTGTTACCAAGTGACTCAGAGCCACATCACTGACTTGTGGCTGCAATATATCAGGGTGTTTGGAATTTATCACTGTATTGGCTTTAAGCGTGCTTAACGTGGCATGTGTGTTGCAGTGGTGTGTTGTCGACATTATCGCTAAGTTTTTGTGTGTGTTGTGTGTGTGTGTGTTGTGTGTGTAGACGTTGTAAGGGAATAACGGTGTTGATTGAATCGAGCAGCCTGCTAGCCTGCCCTCATATAAGGGCACCTATGCATGGATCTCTGCTGCAGATCTAAGTGTTAATGTTTAGCTCCAGCTTCTATAAATATTTATCAATTTGTTCATAGAGCCACAGCAACGCACTACAGGCGCTGGTTATATGGAATTTTGATTTTAGAGCTGGCAAGTCACTGACTTGTGCCCAAAAAAGGCCCTGCAGTTGTCTTCCAGGATTGCGAAGGATGAATTGGGAACTGAATGCAGTGTTTCCAAGTGTGTACATGTTGTCTTGTGATTGTCTAGAATACATGTTGACTGTGAAACTAACTAACTGAAATTATCACACTTTTCTCTGGAAAAAGCCTCACTCAGAGCACAGATGTGTTTAGTGTTTTGCTCAATGATACTTCAGTATGCTACATGACATCTTCTACCCCTGCGAAAAGTAGCAGTAGAAGATCCTTTACTTGGATAAAATTAGCAATATCAACATGTCAAAAAAATACTAAATTTCAATTAAAAATCTTGCCCATTTCAATTCAGAGAGTCGGTTGTTACGGGTTGTTACTGCTTTTTAGTGAAAGTTATCTAAACGGAATACAGCACTAACGATATTGTGGGGCAGGCCCATTAAGAGTGCTTGATGAAATATCAGTTGCTAATTTACATATCCAGCAGATACGGAGCAAAATCGCTGCTCATTTGAAGTCATGTGTCTGATGACCTGGCCAATGTCAGTTCAATATTCATTATCCTTTTACCTCAAGTTTGGTCTCCACCAACTCCTGGGTAAATCATCTGGTTCTTTAGCTGCTAAATGCTCCACTATGTACCCCATTTAGTTGCTAACTTCGCCCATGCTCATGGATGGGTACAGTCAATTTTCAGAGCTTTTTAGAGCTTTGACACTGATGACAGCGGTGAGAGTGAACCAAAGCAGTAAAGAAAAAAGGGAACTGCATAATCAGGTGATCATTTTATGGGTCCTTTACCATGACTGACATGTTTTACATTACACATTGTCATTTGACCCATTGTTAATATAGAAATATTGATTAGTGCAGCTTTAGGTAAAAAGGTGTAAAAAGTTAAATGTACTTAGTATCAAAGATATAAGTAAAAGTACTCACTATGGAGGCTCTGTCAGTGTTATAGTATATTATTGTATTCTGTATTACTGGAGTATTGTTTGTGCATTAATGTGTAAGCAGCATTTTAATGTTGTAGCTAACCAAAATGGAGCTAATTTAAACTACTTTATATGCAGTTGAAGTTTAATTCACTGAATTACAATGTGTTGTATTTGAAATGGTCATTGTATTAGAATATGAATCTGTAAAGTTCTACTAGTTCCCCCTGAGACATAAGGAAGTTGACGTGCAAAGTGGTAAAAAATGGAAATACTCAAGTAAATAACAAGTACTTTAGAATCATATCATATCTGAGTACATTACTTGAGCATATGTACTTTCCACCAGTAGATAGTCTAAAGGGAGAGACACCATGATGAAGACATAAGGAAGAGTGAAAGGTTTTAGACTTGCAGATAATTGCTGCAATTGCAGATAATTTAATGCATACTATGGTTCCTGCTCACTGCTCTGCTGATGTCTATGTACGGAGGAGAGAACGAAAAGGACTTTTGAGGCTTTCCACACAACCCAGCGTTCGTCAGATCCTCACTCATTCTGATCATCAAAATGAGGCCATGGATCCATGAACATGTGTCCTTTGTGTTCCAGACCATTAAATACAGGAGTGAGGGGGAAAAAATGAGAAAAAGAACAAAGACAGGAGGAGTCAGACAAGGAGATTTGGATCCATATATCATCTTTGATCCATGCTGCTAAGCAAAGTCAGAGCTGGACCAAGAGCAAAAGAATATCTGCTGGAGAACCTCTTACCGAATGGAAAATCCAGCGGGGTGACCCGGAGTGAGAGGTTTTCAGCATTCATAACAGACCTGCTCTGTTGTTGAGTATCTAAGGTCAAATCATTAAACAGATGATCTTCAAACAGCAGTAGCTATTTCAGTCTGTTAAAACTGCATGACCTTGCAGAGTCTCTGCGTCTTTCTTCTTATAGTCTGAACAGCCCTGTGTTCTGGTACCAACATAATCTTGGGCCCCAAGATGTGACCTCAGTGGAAAATGTTTGAATCTGTCAACAAAGAACTCTATAACAGACCAGTGGTTGGGTATATGAATGACCATTGTTCAAAAACCTCCCAAACACTGACACTCACCACTGAAATAGCTGTGGTAGGGCCACTGTTATTCTTAAACTTATAACTAAAGACAGACATACATCTTTCTGCTTTTCTTTTCCTTGCATACAGTATCTCTCTGCTTCATCCTGAGCACACTATAACACACCCTTTCAGGAACACCTTATATACCCAGAGGGCTACAGTGTATAGACACATACATGTATACTTTTATCTGGCAGCTTTGAGTCTCCCAAACACCACTGCTGAATTATTACAGAGCGGAGGCAGAGATATAGATGCTACTGTCACATAGGTGTCTGGTGGATGATTCTATCAGGCGACAACACAGATAGCGAAGGAGGACTCTTAATGAAAGGAACCATAATGAAAAAGAAGAGCCTCTCCATTTTTAGTTTTGACAGGTGGATTTCTGCAGGGGAAGTGCAGATAGATGCAGTGCTCTGTCAGAGCTAAATGGAGACAAACTGAATATTCAAAAGATTTTTTTTGTCTGATCTGCATTATGGCTTTTTTGCATTTTATTTCCCAGGCCGTGAAAGCTCTTTGCATAGTCCGTTACAGTGTTCTGCATAAACAGCTTCCCACATCCACATAATACACCCTGTCAAAAGATGCAAGATACACAAATAACAAAGCTCCTTTGAGACTTTTGTGCGATAAAGGGTAATATAAATGCAATTACCTTGAGCTATGTTTTATTTAAAAGCTGAATTTTGAGATAATACAACTTACGTTTTCCTGTTTTCTTCAGGGATCTCTGACATTTAAATTATGTCCTTTTGAAATATCGGTTCAATTCAGAAAAAGAGTTTTATTGAAACCTATTTCTTACTCAAAGCACTTATTTTGACCTTCTGTTGTGTCTCTGTATGACAGTGTTGAAACATAATTTCCCGATGGGGTCCCAGGGTGGAGGACTGAAATTTCCCATTGGGTAATAAAGTTTAAGAGTCCCTGCCCTAAGCTGCTGCAATCATGCTTTCCAGTCTGTGCATCTGGCGCAACAGATATGGTCACAAGCCTCAGTGGCTGTTAAACCACAAAATGACCCGTAATGGAGAAGCCACACTTTTACCCGCCAATCAGCTTGCACTAATCTTACTGGAGATAACATACATACACAGACAGGCTTAGTTTATTTATGTATTTGTAGTATCATGGAACCAAATACTATATATTTAATTAAAATTACAAAGAGGTATAGAAACATAATCCAAAAATGCCTCATGAGTGATCATCATCTGTTTAAGTGTAATTTACAGCATAATGCATCATTGGGTCACGTTGTTGAATGAAGATGATCAGACAAAAAACATGCAACATTAACTGGATGCTTCATAATTAAATCTTTAAAACCAAACTTTCTACATTACTGTTGAAGATTGAACAATTCTATTACATAAACAGGCTGGACTGTACACAACAAAAGTAAACAGTCCTCAGAATGACAAAGTGAATACTGTATTCAAATTAGCTACAGTTCAACAGTATCTGCAAGCTAGAAGAAAGAAATAACATGCAAAAAGCAAAGCCAGTGACAGACAAAAACTAACAGATATTCCACATGCATATCAGCTATTTCAAATCTCTTTATGATATATCGTCCTTTGAAAAATCCCAAACTCAGTTTTTTGAGACTAAGAAAAAATACAGTAGCAGCAAATAGCAACAGGCAGGGAAGTTGTCGGAATCATAACATGTCTAATATTAATGACAGCCTGTCGTCTCTAGAGCAACTCTCCCCTCTCCTCCTCTCAAGAGGCAGCAATGGACAGATAAACACATCATCTTGTAAACCCAGTAGCCGTCTGCACGGTTAGAGGAAAGCTGTCTTACCTGCCTGGTTGTCTGTGTGTTTCTCTTGCACTCGGTCTGGGTGTATGAGTGAGTGTGTGTGCGCTTACACACGGTCCCTCCGAACAGGAACTGATGAATCTGCACGACTTCAGCCCTGCAGCGTGCAGTGCATTATGGGGTTTCAGTCTCTCTCTCTTTCCCTCTCTCTCTCTCTCTCTCTCTCTCTGTCTCTCTCTCTGCTCTCTTCCTCTCTCTGTTGGCACAGTGTTAGAGGGGGATGTCCTCACCTCCTGTCTGGAGAGAGGAGGGTGAACTCACACGCGCTGTGTCCACACACACACACACACACACATACACACAATGCAGAACAAGCCTCATGATCACAACCACCGCGGCTCTGGTTGCTGTGGCAACAGCATCCCCCCCTCGCTCCTTCGCCTCCCTCCCTCTCTTTCTCACTCCTTTAGCTCTTCAGGCTCTCTATCAGTGTATTCTGTTTAAATAGTAAAATAGAGTGGAACAAAATAAATGTTTCACAAACTGCACTCATTCTACTTGCCTCTACTTCCTTTATTTAATGTTTACTTTGAGCCTGAGCTGACCAGCTAACACTGACCACAAATGAGGACAGACTCTTGTGGTCATGTGATCACTAACTGTTGCTTCTGCCTTCTGAGATAAAGACAGGGTGGTGTGTAGTAAGGGGGACTAGGGACAGATACAGATACTGAGTGTTTGTGTGTGTGTGTGTGTGTGGGGGTTGAGGTGGTGGTTCCTGGAAGCAGGCTATAGTTCCTGTTTGTGTTTCTTTCCTTTCTCCATTGCTACTGCCACTACACTGAGGCCTGCAGCCCTTTGATAACACACATTTCAGTCACATTACCAACAAGGGAAGTACAGCTGGACTGACCAATGAAATGAATGGGTCGTGTGCATGCAGGCTGATAGGCACACAGAAAGACTGACCATCGCCCACTGGGGTAATTATTTCAATTTTCATCATTACTCACCTTCCTGGAGGTTGGTTTTAACTGTTATTTAGTGGGCTGATTCTGAATGTTAATAGGAGCTCAGTGGGTTATCAAGAAAGGGAGGGCCGATAGACAGAAAAACAAGTTTAAAGATAGAGGGATACGTACTGTAAAGGAGAGAGAATGAGGGTGAGGAAGAAAAGGAGACGAGACCTCCTCTCCACCGTCTCCCATGGCGACAGAGTGGGCGGAAGGCCGTGGCTGTCCTTCAGGCCTTGTAAATCAACAGTTCACAGCTGAGTCCTGCAGCGCAACCATTGCACTGGTAACCCCTTACGCTCCATCTTTCAACATCTAGCCATCCCGTTTTTTTCCCTCTCGCAGCTGTGATCGTTCTGTCTTCCCCTCTGTCCCTCAGTCTTGAAACTCGCCAAGAGTCCTCTCTGTCACCAAAACATGTATATTAAATTTTTATCTTCAGATCAAGATGAGCAATACCACCATGCCGCTGGAACCGGAGTAGTCAGACCAGTTAAGAGAAAAACTACATCTCCCATAGTTCTGCTCTCTGTCTTTCTAGTAGCCATGGGAACAGATAGGAACTGAGATTCACTGAGCATTCATATGTTGAAATTCTTGCGAGGATGATTTAATCAGCGAGCTTGGCAGAGGAAGGTAAAGGGAGCGGAGTAAGGTATAGACAAAGTGGGAGGCAACAGATGGTAGCTAGTGTAAACGTGTGAGGATACGCGTGCTTGTTTGTCCAATTCATACTTGGACATGCGCTACTTTATTCTTTAGGTCTGCAAAGAATGTACCACTGTGTCTGGAAGAAGCATATATCTGAATAAGCATTATCACTGGACACTCATGTGCTTCGTAATAAAGGGTCCTCGAGTTTGAGGGACACTGAATAACCTGCTCAGATTTGAAAGCCAGAGTGATTAGTCTGCTCTTTGGGACTAATGGCAACAGCAGGTGTCCACAGGCTCCGTGTGCCACATCCATTCATTAGAAACATTAACACTAACCACACACGCGCACGCACACACACACAGCTCACTGCTCATTGGAACTATTCATTAACAACATTGCAGCTCCCCTTAAGCGCAATGACCATTGATTAGGTTTATGCATAATGATGGTGGTGGAACTGCTGGTGTAATTATTACTACCCTCAGACTTTTGTTCACCTGGGCTTGATTTTTGTATAGCACCCCTGTACTGTAGGCACCGCGCCTCTTTTTGATACTGTATATGAATGATAGCCCTGCATGCAAGGTTGTTATTTCGCCCCAAAAAATCCTTTTATTTGGTTTAGTCTCAAATGATCATTTGTTGCGTTTCAGAATCACTCTTTAATAGCTTGTCCTCCATTTCTATTCTCAGCACAACCAGTAGCCTACAGCAATTGGTTGCACTTGTAAAGGTCAGAGCAGTTTGAGGTCAAAGTTCAACAAATTTTAACTCTGGCCACAGTAAGTATCAGAATAAACTACTACAACTTCACCTCCAGTAAAAAACACCCTACAGTATGGATGAGGCGCACACAAATGTTGTTCTATAGGATTATGTGAACATGTCTTCAGACATTTGATCAACATTTGTATTTATATTTTGATCCTTCCTCAGCTATCAAAGGATGCAGAGACTGTAGTAGCAAGTAGTAGAAGAAATATCTGAGTTGTCCTTTGCAGTATCAGATACAAATAGAAAATTGGCACTCACTATTGCATCACTTGCGGGGGTTGTTGAAGGATAAATACTGTGCAGTATGGTATGGTACAAATATAATTAGTGTACAATATCATATTGCATGTAAAATTAAAGCCAAAACAGAGGGAATATTCTGCTGCAGTGGATATCACTTGTTTCCTGTTTACGATCTAACATATGCAGATGGCAATGTGAATATTCTAAAAGGTTCAGTTGTTGTATTACCTATTATCTCATTTGACTTGAGGGCAAAATATTTCTAAAGGATACATTTGTTGATTCGAGCACAGTACCACATTTAACCGGCAATGCATTCCAAACTCCTGCGTCTAATCTGTAAACAGCAGAACTACGGTATTAAAGGCTTGAGTTCCAGTTGGCGGTGTAAGTTTGAACAGGCAGGCAGCAAAATAATATTTACCCATTTATTTTTAAACATATCTTCCCTCATCTCAGAGACAGAGTGGGGATGGGTTAGGGGTTCGTTGTCTGCCTCTGTTATAATCAGTCTGTTCCCGCAGAGAGACACTCACACCAAACAGAATGGGCAAGCATGACAGTGTTGAATTCTTTTTAATATTCTTTCACATGCAGACTATTAGCAATCCCCTCAGTATCATGCCAACAGGCTATTGTAGAGTAATGTTACTAATGCATCAGGCTTACCCCCGAAACAAGGTTACATCACCTCTTTGCTGGAAAAACATTAACAAAACATATAATTGTGCTTAATCTGTGCAGAAAACTTTAAATGCCATAACCTTTTAAAGAGAAGTCTGCACAAACATTATCCAGTAATCTGTTTCCCGCTAAGGCTTGAAACTAAAGAGAATGCCAAAATGTTGTCGTCACTGTTGGTGTTTGAGGCTGAGAGACGTTCACCGCACAACACCAATGAAATGCCAAGGGCAGCTTCTATAAGTCATGGAAGCAAAGAGCAGTCAGAATATACTGATCAACAAATAGTAAATCAGTAACCCCTCCCACACAAACAACACAAGAAAGGACTAAATAATGTGACGCCTGTAATGGTTTAGTCTTTATAGTTTGTCTTATTTTGTAGTTCATGTGTTTCCTGTTTTATGTTGTAATTGTTTGCCCCGCCCTAATCTCCTGCACCTGTGCCTGATTACCCCCACACCTGTGTAATATGAAGTCTGTGTGCTTTCTCCCTTCTGTGCAAGTTTGTCTTTGTCTGTATATTCAAGCGTTCCAGCATTCTCTCTCGCATTGTTGGTACTTTCGTTTTTTGGATTCCTTGACTTCCTTTTGACTTGCCTTTTTGTCTTTGACCTTTGGACTTGTTTGCCTGTGTTTTTGGATCT